GGGAAAGGACTCAAACTTACACAAGGGAAGTTTAGACTAAACATTAGGCAGAAGCTCTTCCCTGTGAGGGTGCTGAGGCGCTGGCACAGGGTGCCCAGAGAAGCTGTGGCTGCCCCATCCCTGGCAGTGTTCAAGGCCAGGTCGGACACAGGGGCTTGGAGCAACTTGCTCTAGTGGAAGGTGTCCCTGCCCGGGGCAGGGGGGTGGGACTGAGTGAGATTTAAGGCCCCTTCCAACCCAAACCAGTCAGTGATTCTATGATTTACTAGCATCCAGCTAACCAGTGACCCAAAAGTGATATTATCCTAACGACAAAAATTTCTGAACCACTTCATGAGTGACTGGTATTTCACCAGACCTCACAGCATTTGTACTACTGACTTAATCAACACACACTCAAAAACCTCTCCCAGCTTCTCCTCAGGGATTTACCATATTCTCAAAAGTCTGCAGTGAAGTCATAGCACTTCACAGAGTCCTTTTCATCTATGACAAACCAGTTAACAGCACATTTCAGTGTCCTGCCAAACATCAGGGAGAATTAAAGCTGGAAAGTAGCTCTTCTGAAGCCTTTCAACCAGACACTTGAAAGCTGAGAAAATCCAAACTACCCATCTTGGTTTTCCTGGTGCAGCACTTAGGTTCCATTCCTTGCCTGCCATTCCCAAGTTGTGCCAACTGTCATATGGAAAGAGAGCAAAAAGGCAGTGCCCAAGTCCTCAGTGTCTTGCTTTTGCACCAGCAAAGCCTGACTCTGTTTTACCAAAGCAAAACACAGCCTATTTTATCTCCTCATATAAATTAAAGGTACCAAAGAATATTAATGAAGTACATTCTGTGCTGAGACTTTATCTGGTTTATTTTTAAATCATATTTCTTTCAGAAGCAATTAAAAACTCTAACTGACATGAAACAGGTCTTCTCGTTATTTCCGAGAATGGTGAAGGTCTGCCCACAGCCAGGGATCAAAACCTGAGGGTGAGGCTGAGAGGTGAGAAGAAAAAGAAAACAAAGGAACTGGGTAAACAGAGCTCATTTCTCCTGCCTTCTGCCTGCTGTTAATAAAGGTAAAGATTTTCACAGTTCTCCTGACCCTTTCAACCTCTCTCCTTATTGATCCAAGCACCAAGTAATCATCGCAGGCTTATGGCATCACACAGCGTTCTACCAGCAAAGAGCAATGACACAACAGGGTCAAGAATAGAAACCGAGGAGGTGGAACACACGGGGAGCAGCCAGCTAGGATGGAAGAAGTAGTTACAGAAAGTCATTATGAAATCCCTGGTTTAGGCTCTCTAAGTAGTAAATACCATAACAGGATGCATGAAAAAGTGTCCACTGCAACAGCGTTTTTCCCCTGAATTCGCCCCTACAACAGCAGTATGTAAGAGATGCTCTAGACCTTTACTTTGCAAATCACCTGACAAAACACCTGAGAGGAATGCTGGTCCCCAACTCCTAATACAAGAAGCCAAAATGCTCCTGAGGCCTTCCAGCAGTGCAATTGCCAGACTTGAAATCAAGCATCCTCCACCCCGCTGTGAAGTCAGGGCGGTAGCAAGCCTGGGGGAAGTTGGGCTTAAAGAGCCAAGAATACCTTATCTCAAAGGATAAGGTGGAGCTTTACTTTTCCCCTCTTGCAAAATTGGTTATTAAGTAATCTGTTTATGGCACACACAGGAGCATTCCGAACACTGGCATTACAGCGAGACATCGTTACCTTCAAGGAAAGGAACGTGCAGTGCTCAAAATGAATGGGAATGGATTTCTCACACAGGAGGTTCAGCTTAGGGCAGTGCCTCTTCCTATTTCTACCAAAAAACCCTACATTTTCCTGCTTGCACTTCTTCCACACTCCAAACCATACCCAGGCGAATACCTTGTCTCAGCAAGTCACATTTCTGGGTACTTAAGTTCAACAGCAGTGATGGCCAATGGCAGGGGGTTGGAACTAAGATGATCTTTAAGGTCCCTTCCAATGCAAAACATTCCATGATTTTATAAGTAACATGCACTGAATTAATTGATTAAGCCCTCCCAAGGACATACCTTTGTCAGGTGTGTATGGTTGCCACTACGTAACATTTACTCAGCAAGGGCATGAATGACAACTGCCCCATGCTGAAGATGTCCCAACATCCTACTAACCAGAAATGCCTGGCTTTCCCCCTCTTCAAAAAGCAACAACTTTCCTCAGTAGAGTTATGCTCTTCTGCTCAGTTTCTTGTTTCCCTCCAAGTTTACTGAAATTAAGAGTAGCTTTAAAGAGCCCTCCTGAGAAATTTGATCAATATTGACTTTTAGGTGCAAAAAAGTTACTGGAAGAGGAATGGAAAGAAGAGAGCTTTATGATCTGTCTGTTGTTTCCTCATGCAAGTAGGCTAAAAATGAAAACTATCAGAAAAATACGATCTATCTGGACGTAACAATTCCACTCACTGTTTCCTTCCTCTACTGAAAGACTTTTAGAAAAGCAATTTATCACCATGACAGGGAAGCAGCAGAAGTAACGGAGAGCACTTTGGAGCTAACACCTTCAGGTCTCTAGACAAATGCTCTCCTACTTGAAACCACTCCATTTGCAGTGCAGAAATCTAGCAGAGACACTTAAAAGCACCTGCACTGAGTGTCAGCCAAAGGTCTTCTATCCTACGTTTTATTTAGCCCTTCCACTGGATCTTTTTAGCCTTTCCATTAGATCTTAAACTGAAAAAGAGTAGATTTAGATTAGATATAAAGAAGCTCTTCCCTGTGAGGGTGCTGAGGCCCTGGCACAGGTTGCCTAGAGAAGCTGTGGCTGCCCCATCCCTGGCAGTGTTCAAGGCCAGGTTGGACACAAGGGCTTGGAGCGACCTGCTCTAGTGGAAGGTGTCCCTGCCCGGGGCAGGGGGTTGGAACTGGATGGTCTTTAAAAGGTCCCTTCAAGCCCAAACCAGTCTGTAAGTCTATAATTCACTCTATACATGCAGAATATGACTGTACATGGAGTGCGTGTGTGCACGTTAGATATGCACATACATTAAGTGTACTTACACACAGGGTGAATATCTGTGTAGTAAGGTAGATGTAGCTGAGAGCATGCCTCAAATCCTGGAACAATTTAGGTTGGAAGTCTGCCCCTCTAAGGCAAATGAGATCTCTTCAAAGTACCTTTAATGATTACCTGGCACTGTGGTAATGCCCCATATTTGCCAGGTATGCTATGAATTCTGTCCCAGTCCAGAGGAGTGGAGTGGCTGAGCAGCAACTCACCATACATGCACCACACATTCATGGTGACCCTGACAGATCCTACAGCATAAACCCTGGCCCCACCACAGCCAGCGGCCTCTTTTGGGATGCAGCCAGGTCGTTCACAGAAGCCTGGTGACAATCAAGGCACTGCCTCCAGCACACGCAAGGGAATTAGCTGGTTACACAGCTCCCATCTCTCTGGAGGCTCAGACAAGCAGCTTCAGTTCCGAGAGGCTGTCGTATGTAATTAGAAATACTTGCTTCACCTCCTCTTCTCCTTCTTCCTCTCCTGAACTGCAGCTGGTCTGTTAGCCCAACTACACCAAACGAGGGTACCTACCTCAGAACACGGAGATAAACACACCACATCTACAAATATGTATTTAAGTACTAACCACAGCCTTTTTCAAGCACCTGCAGACAGTTCAATGGACATTCCCACACTGTCCCTCAAAACAAGTTGTGTCATATTCCTGGAGTGTCGCTCAGGGGCAATACGCACCCCAACAGCACATGGCCATGTTTAAGACAGTAAAATGCAAGAAATAGTCTCCCTCTTTCCAGTTTTGAGCGTCTCTGCTGTGCCAAAGTATCAGTTATTCTACGAGTGATAGGCTAATACAAACCCACTGTCATTCCGACCCTGCAGACGGCAAATGGCCTAATTAAACCCAACATGAAGATTCACAGCCACTGAGCACAGATTACTCAACAGAATAATCTGTTCTCCTCCAAGAGAGGAAGAGAACACAGGCTTTTTGATGGCAAGGACCAGCTTCGTTTGCTGGACACGTTCTAATTCATCGTTTTGGAGATAATTTTCTTTCATACTTCTTGATCCTTCACCATGCATTGCCAGTGACAATGACATGGCTGGAACCCTACAGCTTTCAAAACATTTTAAACCACAGACATCTGTTACTAAATAAAGAAATTAGCACAAAATAATATACTTAAGAAGGGAATGCCAGCACTGTGAGGTGAACACTGGCCTCCTTTCCCTTCTAGGCACCTACCATCCTTTCCTCCTTCTCCTCCACTAGCTCATCAAGCACGCGGTCAACTGATCCTCATGAACCAAGAAAAAGAGAATCTGCTGCAAATAATTCATTCCTATCAGCTTAATAATTTCACACACACAACCTTAAATTTCTTGAAATCACTTCTACCTTCGGGATGTCACAACATTCTTAGTTAGAAAATAAAAACACTTTCAAAGGATTTCCTAAAAAGTGAGGAAACTGTGACCTGTTAAAAAGTTCCCTTTCAAAGGAAAAAACCTTCTCTTGATGCCTCCTAAGCCAAAAGCATCACCCAGGCAAACATCCACTTGCTGCCTTATGCCCACCCCCAACACTCAGTACAAATTCAGCTGGTTTTTCCAGTTCACATCTCCTTCTGTGACGTCTGCCACTGTATTCCAGCACCTCCAGGTGATCTGCAACATGGCAAAAACTATATTCATAGAGGAAAGAAATGCAAATAACTCTGATATTTCACAGCCACTATGGAAAGCACTGCAAAAAGGACTTGGTGGGGGGTGGAAATGTGTGCCAGCAGCATACAGTGACATTCGCTCCTCAACTGAAAAAGAGGATTTCTTTAACAAGTCAGTTTTACCCCAATCAAGCTTCCTAGTGTTTCAATTTTAGGATCAATTACTCGGCAGAACAAAGGTGCCCTTTTTCTCTGCTATCCAACCATGCCCATCTTACACGCAAAATTGTGAAGGCACCACTCCTCCCCAGCAGTCCAAGGTCTCTTACCTTCCACTTCTTCTTCATCACATACGTGTTTAAGGAAGGAAGCCCCTCTGTCCAGTACTGCCTCGTCCTCCATCCTGTAGTAATAGAAAAGAAAAAAGGAATGCTCAGACTTCTCCTGGAGCGAGCTGTTTGAACCAGCCCAGGTCCTGGGCAGGTTAACTTGCAAGCTGTTGCTCATGTTCCTGTGGGCACTGCTGTTCTCCTTCCCGAGCCTGCTGTTCCTTCATAGAGCTCCTTTCAGATGGCGTTTGGTTTAAGCTGGCCTCACGTAGCTCGAATTCTAACCTTGAGAGGACATCAGTGGTGACAGGTGGGAGAAAGGTAATCCTGGCTACAAAGCTCTGAGGTTTTTCCTGCTTCTTGTTCCTTTTTTTTTTCCTTTCTCCTTTTTCTTTTTTCCCTAAAAAAGGATGTATGGACACACAGGCAAGTCTGAGACTATCTATGCAATAGCCAAGAGTCTGTGGGATCCCAGTTTCTCTTTTAAGCTCTTCCAGAAGACCGTGATGGCAGAACCCCGCTCACGAGCAAGCACACACACTACACAGAGGCACACACGATTCGAATGGCTCCAGCCAGCCCCTTAATACCAGCAGAGCACACTTGTGTGCTGGGAGGCGAGCTCTGTGTCACATGCTGGCCTTACAGAAATCTGACATACAAGGATTATCCAGAGACCGAGCGACAGCAAGTCAGACCAGCACAGCAGTCACTCCTGTGTGCCACCCGCTCATTCATCCCCTCGGGGACGGGTGTTAGCAGCTGTCTGCTTCCCCCTCCACCTCTTATCTGCTTCTCTCTATAGCAGAGACTCCTAATTCTACACCACAAAAGTCCTCCTGGGACACTGCCCAGAACTCCTGCTGCTGTATTTCACGCACAAAGTAAGACCCTGCACGCTTTCCAAGGTGCATTTGCAAATTCACTTTTGACAAGCAACTAAAAAGATGATAAAATAACAAAGGAAAAATCTAGCTATATTAAATAATCTCCTTAGAGGCTAAGCACACATTTGCTGCTCATTGCTGGACAGTCACTGTGGAAGCTTTCTATCCTAATACACTGGAGACTGAGCTGGTAACCTGGTTTCCTACCAATGGCAAAAAACAGGCATACATGGATAATGATCAAAAACGAAGGCATTTTCCTTATATTCCCTAGAGAGAATAGGGACAAACTCAGTACAGAGAGAGACAAAGCCTTCAAAACTTCTTCACATCTATATTGCTCCCATTTGTTAGCACAGAATCACAGACTGGTTTGAGTTGGGAGGGACCGTAAAGCTCCTCCAGCTCCAACCCCTGCCACGGGCAGGGACACCTTCCACTAGAGCAGGTTGCTCCAAGCCCCATCCAAGCTGGCCTGCAAGATCCCCCATGTGCAGTAGCAGCAATAGAGTTTTTTAAGCGCACCATTTGAACTCGGGAGAGTACAAAACTTGAGCAGGTGAATACCAAGAAATCAGAAGGTCTCTACTGTGTGTGTCAACAACTACCTGAACAACAACGAACAATGAAAATCAGCCACAGAACAAAGTACCCAGGCCCTCACTTTCTGAAAGCAGCAGCAGAGCAGACATTCTCATCTTTGCCAAATCTTCCTCCACCACAAACACCTTTACCAACACGCTATTGACCACATTCTCAGCTCTTAAGTCTGCAGCTTGGCTCCTGTGAATGAGTCTCAAACGCATCACAGATAAAAAAGAACAAAGTGAAATAGGTCACATTCAAAGCCACTAACTAAGCATATGGAAAGACCCATTTTTCACTTGGATTACTGGATGTCAGCAAATAATAGAGCACCATACCCCGAAACAAAGACAAGCATCACCTCCTAAGATTAGTTCCAATTCAGACACTTGAAAGAAGGCCACCTCCCCGTTCCACAGGCTGTTTCTGCCTGCGCTGTCTGCCACAGACCCAGAATACAGAGGGTTTGAAGAACAAACTTCCCTGCCTTAAGGAAGGTACCATTTCCCAGCAGCTGCTGCTCTGTGTGAGGGGCAGGATATGCTTCTCACCAGGAGAACACACAAAGCCAGCACCCAGGCGTGCACATGGAATCCTTCCCCAAAAGTTCCAATTTTCATTAAATTATTCAGGACTACACATCTGTCCTAACGCAACAGAAAGGAACTTATTTCATGGAAGCTCTTGCCTGTTTGCAACAGTTGTGGAGGCACAGCCTAATTTTTATTTATTTCCTCCCCACAGCAGCACAGTAGCTACTTGCTATAAACACAACTGAAAAAATCTGGAACAGATGGGGCTGGATTTCCAGACCAAACACAAACCACACATGCTTTATTACTCAGTAAAGTCTCTTCTAACAGCCTCACGCACAACATGCCCTGGCGTCTCCCTCTGCTCCTTGAGCGCATCCCACACCAGTTTCCGAGGCCGGTTTCTCCACGTCATGTCAGGCAGCATCAGTCCTGGTGTGCAGCAACTGAGAAGCAAGTCTAGTGCCCCTGCTCATGGCAGGGGGGTTGGAACTAGATGATCTTAAGGTCCTTTCCAACCCAAACCATTCTAGGATTCTATGGCATGGGAGAAAGAGAGAAAAGAGGGGAAAGGAAGGGAGCAATTTCCATTGCCTGCAAGGATTGCTGAATATTCACTAGGTGCCATCCACCCAGTGAAATGCCTGCTCAAACTGGCCACCACAGCATCACCCACTTGCTGCTGAGCAATGGCACCTTGCCCCCCTTGCACCAGTTTACCCCATTTAACAGGCTGGAAAAGTGCTTAGGCCACACCGCAAGACGGATGCTCTTCCCCTGAACCAGGCACAAAGCAGATCCAAAGGAGCTGGGGGGTTTAAAGGGCCAGGAATAGAGCTTGGAGCGCCCTGGCACGGCACTTGTTTCTAATCCGCAGGAGTTCAGGGATTAGACTCCCAAGCGCCACCTCCCTTGACTTGGGCTTTTCTGTCTGTCTTGGATTACTGCAGGATTTCTTCAGGCCAAAATCTAGCAAGAAAACATCCTTCATCATGGGAAACAACAAGAAAATCTGCACTTAGGTCCTGAGGGGGAACTGGCAGAGTCCCATCAGCCACGCACTGCTGCAGAAAAAGGTATTTTCATCATCCCATGGAGAAGACACTGGACGGAAGAAAGGGGGAAGAAGGGGAGGGGGATATTTAGGGCCTCTGAACAGAAATATGTCCTTGTTTAAGCCTGGTTTATCAGCTCCTTTTAGTAAGGTAAAAAGCCATTCAGGCAGTTTCTATCTAGATCCAAATCAGTGCTGCTAGTGCAAGGTTCTGGAAACAAACCTGAACATTGATGAAATAACAGTAATACCAGGATTCTATATTTTCATGGCCTGTATCAGAGCGAGTCATGTACTCTGACACAACATACCCAAGTGAGAAAACACGAGCTGCTTCGGTAACGGGCTTGAGCACCTGACAGATCATTAGATGGGTACTGAACACTTCTGGGAATGACACGATGTGCCAATAGGATCTTAACAAGCGTCTCATAGGCGAGGACAGGAGAGGGAAGTAGGTCCTCGGCATAAATAAAGGCTGATGTGGCAACGCGAGCTGCTGCACAGAGGTACGGACCGCTCACACCGGCAAATAAAGGCGTAACGTAGCTGGGCAGCCAGAAACGAGAGTTACAACTTGCTGATAAGCTTTTACAATTCTTCCCATTTCAAACATCTTTTGAAATCAGGAGGAAAGCCCAGCAAACTCTGAACTGAACAGAGGGAACAAAGATTTAGGTTATTTGCTTGAAATATCTCCTCAGGTTACATGGATTTCACTCTGGAAAAGGTAGCCCGATGGTTCAGCGACACTGTGCCATTCTATTCAGATTACTAAAATGCCTTAATAAGATATTTTGTAAAACTGGGGGGGTATGAAAGGAGGGACTTCTTTTGGTTTGGGTTTTTAATAAATTCCCATTTAGACCATCTCATTGTTGCATGACATGTTTCACTCTACAGACATGTCCTCAGGGATTGAAATTAGGTCCCCTTAAAGGATCTAAGTACGAGTCTCAGTTCTTGACTATATTTTGTTTTCAAAACTCTTACTGACTGGAATGTCAAGAACTCGAAGGGTTTATCTCAACTCACAGGTGAAGCCTATGAGAGCACCTTCCTGAAACCAAGCTAAGAATCATTTGAATTTATTTTGACAACGTCAGTTGTATCATCTGGGTTTCAATTTAAATCTCCGAGAACTTCGGGAGAGCACTTCAACTTGGATACCAAAAATCCAGTTCAATATGGATCCAAAAATGAAACAACTATCAGGAAAAATAATTAGGAGTGAATCAAGTTGAAGCTTTCTTCTGCACAAACAATTAAGTAACACTATCAAAACACAGGGAAATCCAAGGGGGATATTGGCAGTGGACCCTAGGGTAGGTGTAGCAGTTGAAGTCATTGTTTTATTGTGTTTAGATTGCTTACCATAAAATGACACAACTCTATAAAACCCGATAAAGTCGGCCGCCTGTTTGTTTTCATTTCCTCCTCTTAAAGGAGACCATGAAGCTGTAACTGGAGACACACCAGCAAGGAGAAGTCCACCTTTCCTTCAAGCTTAGTTTGCACCAGGTTCCTGACATCTTCCCTGTTCATCTGCTATATTGACTGTAGCTAGAGCCAGGAAAGGGTACAGAAAGGAATCCAAGATTGCATTTACATAGGAGCTTTATGAGATGAGCCAATCAACAGGAAGAAGTGATTTTGGGCTGCAACTACTATGAATGTATCTGTTTGAAACTAACGTAAACCAGACATTTCTGCAGCTTCATCTTCTGCAAAGCATGAAATATAAATCACAAATAAGTTTTTTCTAGAGGCAGAATGGTGACAGGTTTTAAACCCACAAGCAGCAGCAAATTCTTCCTAAAAATTATCATTTCAGGACAGCCTGTGAGATCTGATTTGGGCAGTTTATGCCATTTATTTGTGTGATGATGTCATGCCCTGCAATACTTTTGTTCGTTTTATGCCTCATAGGCAACTTCCTACTTGACCATGTTTTTACCCATCCATTTGGCTATCATTACGTATTCTTCCAGTTTTGGTTACTAACAGAAAAAAG